GGTGTTTCATCTGGTGATGAAACACTGTGTCGAATGTTTGATATTTCTTCTCAAACAAAATCATTTTTGAAGGAGAAATTAAGGATGCAAATACTAAGCAGTGTTTCATCCGATTTCCAAACACTCATTAAACATTAATTTCCTTTGTATTTTCTTAATGAATTGTTAATGAGTTTGAGAATAATAAATACATCGTTAACGACAATACCAAAAATGACCTGAATATTATTTGATATAACTAACCTTGATAGCGTGGGATACCACAAACTATTCCATAAATGGTCTTCGGTGGATATCTCTCTCCCCCGACTTCTTGGCCACCTCCATCACAAACTTGCTAAGCCAGTAACTCAAGGTCACCGCATCAATTTCTTCAGTGCTGGTTGAAAGCTGTGTGACCTTGTGTAAATCATAGCCTTTAAAAAGCCCTCCTGGATCTAAAACGGGAGCTATAACCGACCGAGAATTTTGCCATTCGCCAAAAATAGCTACCGCCTATTTGTTCTTATATTTGGTTGACGAGGGAATAACTTTTTCGACTCAGTCGCGTTGATCGTAAACCGTTTTCGGCTCCCTGACTCTTGCCTCTCCATCTTCACTCATGGTCAGACACCAACTAGTACACCAAAACAGTTAATCATGCATGTTGAATTGTTGCGTAATATGGCAAGATTGCGTCGCTGCATAAATTATTGTTCTTTCATTTGGGGAGGACAATAGCAAAAAATGTATCACTGCATACTTTTTACTGTTTCGTTTGAGAAGTCATCTCAAAAACTCGTGCTTCGGGTTTCATCAGGAGTTCCAAACACCTGGAAACAATAAAAGCACTCGGCGTACGGCCTCATGCTTTTATCTGTTTCTAGGTGCTTGGAACCCCTGATGAAACCCTCGCTCTCGTTTTTGATAAATTTATATTACTCAAACAAGGCGGTAAGACTCACGAAATTTAGTTGTTTTAACATTTCTTGTTAAAAATATATATTTAATGTTATCTTATATTCTGACCACTTGGAAAATCTTGCGTAGCAAGATCGAATATTGAAAACAAACAAACAAACAACAAGAGGGGAGAAATCCAAGTGTTAAGTTTGATTAACCTGTCTCGTTAAGAGCCTTTCTAGGTGCAAGGATGTGCTGCGCGGCTATTTTTACGTGTACGTTCAGCTAGAAGTACGGTCTCGAGTGTCCATTCTCAGATACTTATCATTTATTTTGTTTTCGTTTTGAAAAATTATTAAATCTTACTGTTGTACTATAGGTAAAATCAAACCCTGTTTAAAGGACAACCGCTTAACACTATTCAGACCGGGTTTTTTGTTTTTCTTTTTTCTTTTTTGCTTCCTGAGTCCGGGGAGAAGTTCTTGGAGCCCCAGGGCCAAAAATACTACACACAACGACGTACTCATCATTTTCACATTTGGGGCTAAATTGGATTGACACAGTGACGTAATCTGACGTCATTATGACGTCATATTGTTGAATCTATTGGTAGAATCCTACTCAAAGTAGACTGAAAAATACATAAGAAGTGAGGTCTCTGATAAAATAAAGGAAGTTGGTTAACATATAAATGATCCTTAACAATAGTAGGATGTCATGATGACGTCATTTGTTTCTTAAAATGAAACTGGAAAAAACTGGCATCTTGCCATCTTGCTATGGGTACTAAAATCGCTCCTTCTTTAGCTAACCTTTTTCATGGTATGTTCGAAATTAACGCTCTCTCTAACGTCCCTTGGCAACCTCACACACGGTACGGGTGGAGATATATGATATATAGATTTATTATATAGACACGAGTGTTTTACTGGAAAATATACCACTCGTAAAATTCATAAGAACTACATCCGGGACCCGAGTGGTTTATTTTCCATAATCTCACACGTGAGTTTATCGATGACGTAATTTCGATCATTTCCCTCTTTTATTCTATCGATGTCTTTTTGTCTATATAATAAAAGGAACATTACACGGCGGCTTGAAGATATGAGTTTTATTTTCGAGTGGCAAAAACAATATTTTACGAACGAGCGCAGCGAGTGAGTAAAATATTGTTTTGCCACTCGAAAATAAAATTCATATCTTCGCGCCACCGTGTAATATCCTCTCTATATATTTTTATGATCTGGACAGAAGGTTCGGATCGTTTGAAAATATTCGTCGATTATCTCAATAACATTCATCCCACTATTAAGTTCACTAGCTCCCACTCACTTACTAACGTTCCTTTTCTCGACGTCATGGTGTCTCTACATAACGGTATAATTCAAAGTGATCTATTTACTAAACCCACGGATAAACATCAGCACCTTCATTCTCAGCTCATCATGCCATCCTCACCACACTAAGAAAGCCATTCCGTTCAGCTTAGCCCTCCGCCTCCGACGTATCTGCTCTACAGACGCTAAGTTTAAACATCGCATTAATGAACTTAAAACACATCTCCTTGCTCGTGGTTA